CAACCTTCGTATTGGAAACCATCTATAAGTTTTTGCTTATGAAACTTCAATAAAGCATACCAGGATACGATATGTAACTGCTCTGCTATTTATACATCTCTTTATTATTTCCTGTTCTGTCTGTCTTCGCCAAACAGCCTCCTTTAAATTTAAGAAGCTTCCAGCATTGTTACACAGTATGACACAAGTATCGTGCGCCACACAGGGCGTGGGCGTGCGAAGAAACTTTTGAATCAATCTGTACTTGTATATTTTCCCGCTTCACTGCATTTTAAAACAGTGCAGTGACTTTTCCAAGTACAATAAACCTGAAAATTGCTGTCTTCTGGATTATTGCGCCGTGTAGTCTGGTAGAAGTTTACTGACGTTTCAGAGGTCCTTGCTGTCTCCATCATCGCCCTGATTATGGAGGCAGCAAGGACCTCTGAAACCTCGGTAATCTTCTACCAGGCTACACGGCGTAACGACCCAGAAGACAGCGTCTTCAGACTCACCGCCGTGAAAACCTCAAATTCTACATACAATAAATCTGGTGTTTGTTTATGGTTAGGTTAAGTTAAGGAGAAGCCAGCTTCTGTGGCTATTTGTCCCTGTACATAATCCGAGTAAAAAGGTAGGCCTGAACATAAGCATGACACGCTAAGGAGTACAAAGGATAATAAGGAGAGTGTCAGGTTACGTAGAGTCCACCTGTCAGTTAAACCGTTGTTAAAAATACTCAAGTCAGCACGGTAAAATTCACCCGCATCCCGCCAGGATTGAATACTAATAATAAGAGCAAATCAGGTCTGTATAAAGACTTTACATTGGCCTGAAGTTAAAATTACAAAGTTACAAAAAATATAAGTGGTAGCTTACAAATACAAAATAATCATGTACAACGCAAAGCCAAAGAGATGCCTAGCAATGAAAATAATCATGTACAAAGCCAAAGAGATGCCTAGCAATGAAACTGGATGGTAAGAAGTGATAGTTGAAGACGAATACTCCACAGAAGGAGAAGAAAATGGACTTCTGCCACTCAGCCGAAGAAATACGGACACTTAGAACTGTAAATTACGTTAAACAATGACCACTAAAATGCCTTGGCACGTACAATTCCGTTTAAAAATTCCAGCTCGTCAGACATACTACGGCGATCAGTTAGTTCCATGCTTACGAAGCGACGGAATGTGAGAATGTCTTCATCACATGTCGGCGTTCAACTAGAATGTGTGAAAACGGCAGACTGCCCCGCGGTGTGGAGGAACGGGAGCCTGTTCCCGAACAGCAAAGCCCGCGAGTAGCGCGAGTGAGATTTGTCCGCGGGCGTGCCAACTTTAATTCCACCTCACTGATAACGATGAAGGAGGATTCTTACAGAAATCCTTTCTCTATCAGAATTCAAGGCAATACCGGGAATTCATGAAAGCATATATAGACATGGATAACTACTTTACAAAATTTGTGTCAGAGTGTGGGACAGCCATCAACAAAGTGAAGAGGTGTCAAAATTCGTGGACAACATAAAATGATTTTCAGATGAATGCGGAATCCGGTGACCAAACTAAACAGTGGAAGAATCTGTCTTTGTCGATACTGAGGATTTCACGTTCCCTGACTCGGTCGCCCTAGTAATATTTATATAACAATATGAATTATGAAGATCTCTGCCACGAAAAATTCTCCATCTTCCTTCCTTTTTCTTCAGTCCAAATATTGTCCTCAGCTCTCTATTGCAGATTTATACGTAGATTTTGAACTCCGTATATTTTGGATTATAATCCACACTCTTCACAGCTCTGACGAAACTACTATCATTAAACTCGAGATGTTAATCTTCTGTTGCTTCAGTTCCGTATGAATTCCAGTTTGTATTTCGCTGCAGAAATCTTTAATGTTTGCTTCAAAGCCGACATTACTTTAATAAAGTATTTTAAATAATTTCATTTTTCTGATCACCGTACCTCGTCCACTTCACAACTAATATCTATAACGTAATGTTACGTATTATAATTATGGTAATGTTTTCCGTGGTCCGTGGTTATTAGTCTCGAAACTGTCTATCGCTAACTCACCATAGAGTTCCGTGCCTACAGCCTGGTCTCTGGTCTTAATAGTGTAATATAACAAAACTACTGAAGTTCACAACGAAAAGAATGTTTGTAAAATCAAGTCTCAGCTAACAAGTTGTTGACTGTCTTCGGGCTCACATAATTAGCCAACATATTATTTAAATTAGTTACTTAAAAATAAAATACTTAGAATATCTCCAACAAAGAACAAGAATTAGAATAACAAACATCTCATACGACAGACGGGTCAAACTGGTAGCTCTCGCTTCTTCCTGATTCTACGTCGTCTAAGGTAAAAAAGACAAGAAGATCAAATGACATTCAAACTGAACAGCGAAATCCTCGCTGGACAAACACTATGCAATCATCGGTAAGGCATTCTAGAAGGATACGGTTACGAAACCTAAAATCTTTCTCAAATCAAGGTCTTCGATACAATTAATGTGGTCTAAAAATTGCACAGTACATTCGACAGATGGTATACTTTTGCCTTAGGTTAAAATCACCAGAGCAAATAATAAGTTAATAACTTACGAAACATCGAATACATCAACGACTTACACCATAAATCGTCAAAGTGAACACTCCCATTCATTATCAGAAACGTGCATTCTCTTCATAGAGTACACAAAAGGCATAATAATAACATTATTAATACATCTATAAAATCTAATCTTCTTTTTACATGTATAACATTTATTTAATATAATAACATTTTCTAACCTCAGGGATAAATATTATTGTTGAGACGGATTCTACATTAATTCAAAGTGTAAAATTGCTTCAGGTTTCCTGCAGGCGTTAATTATTTCGTGTTTCTCCACATTCAGGAACTAAAACTACTTTTATGTATAACAGATCCTTGAGCGAAAATCTTCTGCAACTAACAATTATGAACAATCCTTTTTATTAGTCTAACAAGCAGAGTAGCCATTCATTTCTACAAATGCAATGTGCCCTACAGGATAATGATACAGGATGTCTACAAAATGCATATGAACATTTTCGACTGCACTTAACAAATTAGTATTTATAAAATTATTTAAACTAACTATGTACATTTATAACAGGTATATAATAACAGTGTAATGTTATTTCGGATGGTCAGAATGTATACGGCACAACTGTGCTATAGTTGTTAGTTTCTATGTACGCAAACTATATCAAGTTATTTACCAATGTTGTATTACCACGGGGTTGAACTACTACGGAAATGATTAACAGTTCCTCATAATCACGGTATATAAACTTAAAGAAGGATAAACGACTTAAATATTAATATGATTCACATTTCAAAGCAGAAAGTGTAATTTAAAAAATTGTTTAAATGTAGTCTGTAGTGAATTGATGGATTATGCTACGTTAGAAGACCAAGAGTTAAGATTATTTCGTAATTGAATTTCAGGAAGTATGCGCTGAAGAAGAGAAAAATTACTGATCTGATGACACTTTATACTAAGAGGAGATGCATTATATTCTCAGCTTAATTTTCGTGTAATTTAGATTAGATTCATTGGTATCTGCTAGTTCACCTCTGTCCTTCCTTACGTATAAAGAATGAAAATATGTTACATCAGGATATTGCGGATGGCCCAGAGTGGTTTACCCTTCAAAGTCATTGGCTGAAAGACAGAGGTTCAATTCCAGAGAGTCAGCTATTTCTTCCTTCGCTAAATCGATCTTTTCTGGGACCCAACTACTTCCTGCCCAGTGAGTGACTTCGCATTCACCTAAATCTTGATCTGTTCTGGGAACCAACTACTTCCTGTCCAGTGAGTGACTTCGCATTCACCTAAAAGACAACTGATTAAAAAACATCCTGAGAGTAAATAACCTAGCGAGTGTTACAACGCTGTAAGTCTACAACTTGATTATAAGTTTTTAAACCGCAACTCCGTACAAGAAATATTGTGCATACATTAATAACAGTCGAATAACTTTGAAGCCAAGTTCTGGGCTGTCTGCATTCAGCTAACCCCCCGCCCCTCAAATCACTTATGCTATCAGAGCATCACTATTTCATGTGCCAATAAACCAGAACGTCGAAGCAGATTTGTTTGTAACCACTGGTCCGGATACGGGGTATCCGACAGGCCCTCCATGTTAATATTGGATAGTAAATTAAGTTACATCGCTTCCTTCCACATCCTTTCCAATTCATAATTTATTAATCATCCTATCATTCGATGCTATAGTGTGACCTAGTGACGTCGTTAAAGAAACCGCAGTTAAGTAAATGAATGACTTCTCTCCGGGAGATCCAATATTCGGGTAACTTCAAGTTTGATTCGTGGCACTGGAACATCGTACTCTCCAGAGTAGTTCCATTTCCTGTCCCATGAAGTGGGCGACAACCCTGATCAAGAAGTGCTTAATCATACTCTCGGTACTAAGTAATGAGTCCTGTCTCTGACCCAGGACTTGACTGGTCTAGGAGTAAAGGTAGTTTAGTTTTTTTATAATTCCATGGACGTCGTGTAATTTTACTCGCAATTATGGTTCAGAGAAGACTACTTTAAAACTGGCACGTCATCTTAGTAACAACTTCAGCTGCATGTGCAACGTATACGTACGAAGTTTTCACGTACAATGACAACCAAACATATCCTTTGACCCAGGTTTAGGTGTGATCCAAGGGATCAAGGAGTCTGTAATTAGAGGACTTTTCAGAGGTCCTGCAGACGTGACTAGAAACAAGCGTTACAGATGGCCCTTCTCTCATCAAATCTAATTCTGAGCTCGTAAAGCAAACGCCCCATTTCCACGCCCATAGCCTCGCGACCTTCTCTTTTTTCTACTTTTATCCTTTCATGTTACAGTTTAAAATGTTTGGATTTGTTCTCAAGATGATAGGTGATTGTGAGATGAAGCAACTGAACGAGAGGGTTTAGTGGAGAGGGAAAGTATGGTGGTAGGGTGTGTACAGGTATATAAGATGTTAAAACAATCCCTTCAGCGTTGAAGACGCACGAAGATTTTCAATCTAGAACATTACTCCGCGCTGAACTTGTATTCTGCTCAACAATGAAGGTACAGTAGTAACAGGCGACAACGACAGATGGCAGTCTTCTACACAGCCTTCGGTTGTTTATAGCTAGTGACCGCAATGGATATAACAGCACAAACATAATTGTTGGCGTGATAATTTATACATATAGTACGTCTTGTAGTTAGAAGTCAGGGCTTCAAACTCTGACTCCCCCTGTAGAATATTTTATAACGGGTTCGCAAGCTAATAAAGTAACTGAAAAACAAAATTCTAGGTAGGATTATAGGTCTCACTTGAAAAGCCTAAGTAAAGTAACTGAATCCGAACTGAAAATTTCAATAGCGTATTGCTCATAATTTTGATTTTTGAAAGGATCCAAAGGTTTCTTATTCACGCCAAAGGCAAAACATATTCATTATTTATTTCTTTGAAGTATTTCATTTTCGTGCTGTTATACTTCCGTGCCTATCAGCCAAATAAATCATGCAAAATAATTAAGCTTGCACGTGTCAGAATGAATATGCAATGTTAAAATTCGTACGTTTCAAAAGTCTGTTACATTACAAAAGTTCGTTGTTCCAAGAACATAAAACACTGCGAGTTAAGAAAACATAAACATGAACGATCATAAATAAGAAAGTAGCTCTCTCCATAAACCACAAAAAACAAGGGAACTAAATTGGATTGTTTACTTTTAGCAATTTTAAAATCTTCTTTCTTTTCATGAACTAAAGAAATTGAACAGTTTCTTTATCTGACGATAATTATATGAAGATTGTTTTGTTATTACGGCGTGTTATAATTTTGTCGTATAAACCCAAACGTCAGGCAAAGTTATTTATAGGAACTTCGACTGGAACCAAGCTCATAAATGCCGTGTCTGCTTTAACGTGCTTAAATAACTATTAATAATCAATAAAATCTTCTCGGGGAATCAGTCGCGTTAACTGGTTACCGCAGTAAACCGACGTTTCGGGAACCAACTCTGTCCTATGTAACGCAGGCGACTTACGAGGTATCCAGACAAGAGTTGGTTCCCGAAACGTCGGTTTACTACTGTAACCAGTTAACGCGGCTGATTGCCCGAGAAGATTTTATTGATTGTACTCGCCGCGAAAGTCTCAAATCCTATAACTATTAATAACGTGTTACAGTGCTAAACGTCGTCTGGAAGAACCGCGTACATCTCAAACCAAAACCATCGTTTAAAAATTGACATACTGTATTGCTTACTCCCAATACCTTGCCTGCCTCACCACCAACAGCAAAGCTTGTTTCTTTGTTCGTGTGTTTCCTTAACGATCCATTCTAAACTGCAAAGGATTTGCAGCGCGGGATGATTGTAGTTACAGACTGGAAGGGATGTGGAAGGAAACGATCGTGGCCATTTTTAAATGTACTTTGCACGGCACTGAAACAGCATCTGCATCGACGGACTGAGGAAAACCGCAAGAAACATCAGACATTGCAGACAGATTCCGCACCAAGAATCGAAACCGAGACCCCATCAAACACTAACAAGAAATGACAATCGCTCGATCACAATGTTCGGCGGTTTCACTAACAAAAGAACTCTCACAAAATACAGCCTGAAGAGGTTTTGAAAAATGAGTATAATCCGCCTGAAAATTGGTCTGTGGGTTTGGAATAACAGGGTAACATATATAAGACAGGTGCTTACGTTTTGAGATACAGGAACTTTAACTCGGAATTCGTCCAGATGAAACATACTGAGCAGTACTAAAACTGTGACCTAGGGGATCTCGATTGCTCATGCGTGTCGCAACGCAGTGAACCAGACGGTACAGCAAAGCACATGTCGCTACTGGTACAATTTGCAAGTATAGGAAAGAATGAATCAGGCCCGCTCAGACACTGATGGGTCATAAAGTCATCTTACACAATACGCCTATATGTAAAACAATTACTTGCGGTTTGTATAGTTGTGAATGTCTTATCTTAGGAACGGAACAAAAATGTAAAAATATCTCAAAAAATACACTGTAAAATATTTAAAATTGCATTACTAAATAGCACTTTTATAAAAATTAAATCGAATTCGACAACTGATTACGTAAAGGACCCACATAGCTCTTCCATAAATCACGCTGTTGCAGAAGACAGAGCTGACAGGATAATATTAAAATGGAGTTCAGGAAAACAAACTGCGATTTAACTATAATGATACAAACATGAAAGAATACACTCAAACGGTAAGTTTTTGTGTTAGTGATATTGAATGTTCTGGTAATTTTACAAGTCAACAAGGCAATGACATTTACACGATTTCAAAATCGTAGAATTGTAGAAGCAAAGTAACATCTAAATTGCTATACGGAAGTCAACCAAAATATGAATGACACAGGCATTAAATGAAGTTTTCTCGGGCACAAAAACAAATGTTTCGAGAACCGCCTCGGTCTTCATCATCACGAAACTGGTGTAGACAAAATGTTTGTTTCGATTTTCAGAATAATATGCAAGTAATTAACCACACGGCTGTAATGCTGATGTCTAACGACATACATCAATAACCGATATTTCTGTTTTAGCAATGCGCGTTCTTTGCCTCAAGTGCTCGAACTGAACGCGTAAACATGCACTATAGAAATAGGGCTGCATACTCTTTCTAACTTACTGGTTGACGATATATAAAAACTCATAGATTGATCATGTTTGTCACAAAGATTTATGGTAGTAGGCCTATAAAATTATATACAGGTTAAAAGGTTTTGCTACAATCGTATAGTATAAGATCGGTTTCGTACTTGTCCGTGCTTCCACGCGAGCTCATTAAGCTCCCTATGCTAAGTTGTTAACGCGTAACTTCATTTTTTAACCACACAATGCCCCGCCAGAAGCGTCTTCCATTATCAAATGGCATTAACCATAATTACCTGTCCTTTTTCAGCCATTCATCGCCATACTGCTTGCTCTAGTAGCAGTAGTTAGTAGCAGACCAGAACCTCCTGTGAGTAATTATTTGCCACCATCTTATTCCACAACTCAGCAGGACTCTTTCGCACCTCCGCCTAGCAGTCCTTCAAACACCTACGGAGCTCCTTCTGCTCTGTCAAACACTTACGGAGCCCCTTCTGCTCTATCAAACACTTACGGAGCTCCTTCTGCTCTGTCAAACACTTACGGAGCCCCTTCTGCTCTATCAAACACTTACGGAGCTCCTTCTGCTCTGCTCATGCGTGTCGCAACGCAGTGAACCAGACGGTACAGCAAAGCACATGTCGCTACTGGTACAATTTGCAAGTATAGGAAAGAATGAATCAGGCCCGCTCAGACACTGATGGGTCATAAAGTCATCTTACACAATACGCCTATATGTAAAACAATTACTTGCGGTTTGTATAGTTGTGAATGTCTTATCTTAGGAACGGAACAAAAATGTAAAAATATCTCAAAAAATACACTGTAAAATATTTAAAATTGCATTACTAAATAGCACTTTTATAAAAATTAAATCGAATTCGACAACTGATTACGTAAAGGACCCACATAGCTCTTCCATAAATCACGCTGTTGCAGAAGACAGAGCTGACAGGATAATATTAAAATGGAGTTCAGGAAAACAAACTGCGATTTAACTATAATGATACAAACATGAAAGAATACACTCAAACGGTGAGTTTTTGTGTTAGTGATATTGAATGTTCTGGTAATTTTACAAGTCAACAAGGCAATGACATTTACACGATTTCAAAATCGTAGAATTGTAGAAGCAAAGTAACATCTAAATTGCTATACGGAAGTCAACCAAAATATGAATGACACAGGCATTAAATGAAGTTTTCTCGGGCACAAAAACAAATGTTTCGAGAACCGCCTCGGTCTTCATCATCACGAAACTGGTGTAGACAAAATGTTTGTTTCGATTTTCAGAATAATATGCAAGTAATTAACCACACGGCTGTAATGCTGATGTCTAACGACATACATCAATAACCGATATTTCTGTTTTAGCAATGCGCGTTCTTTGCCTCAAGTGCTCGAACTGAACGCGTAAACATGCACTATAGAAATAGGGCTGCATACTCTTTCTAACTTACTGGTTGACGATATATAAAAACTCATAGATTGATCATGTTTGTCACAAAGATTTATGGTAGTAGGCCTATAAAATTATATACAGGTTAAAAGGTTTTGCTACAATCGTATAGTATTAGATCGGTTTCGTACTTGTCCGTGCTTCCACGCGAGCTCATTAAGCTCCCTATGCTAAGTTGTTAACGCGTAACTTCATTTTTTAACCACACAATGCCCCGCCAGAAGCGTCTTCCATTATCAAATGGCATTAACCATAATTACCTGTCCTTTTTCAGCCATTCATCGCCATACTGCTTGCTCTAGTAGCAGTAGTTAGTAGCAGACCAGAACCTCCTGTGAGTAATTATTTGCCACCATCTTATTCCACAACTCAGCAGGACTCTTTCGCACCTCCGCCTAGCAGTCCTTCAAACACCTACGGAGCTCCTTCTGCTCTGTCAAACACTTACGGAGCTCCTTCTGCTCTGTCAAACACTTACGGAGCTCCTTCTGCTCTGTCAAACACTTACGGAGCCCCTTCTGCTCTATCAAACACTTACGGAGCTCCTTCTGCTCTGTCAAACACTTACGGAGCTCCTTCTGCTCTGTCAAACACTTACGGAGCTCCTTCTGCTCTGTCAAACACTTACGGAGCTCCTTCTGCTCCTTCGAACACTTACGGAGCCCCTTCTACTCCTGGTAGTGGATCAGGATCCAGATCATCATTCAGCTCTCACAGTTCTGGAGGCAGCAAGACCAGGTTCGGTGCTAGTGCTCAGACCTCAGCAATTTTCACTCCATCATCTACGTATGGTGCTCCATCTTCAACCTACGGAGCCCCTGTATCCGGAGGATATCCTGCTTCAAAGTACGATAAATCCCAGGATGATCTCAGCGTGAGTGTAATCTCTTATGAATACAACAAGTACACCCAGAAGGCAGAGTAACAGGCAATTATGCCTAATCCTGCATAGTTAAAAACGACACTCATTTATTATGATCGGTGTATAGGGCTACGTCTGAAGTTAACGAGACATTTCTATTACAGGAGCCAGCAAAGTACGAATTCTCATACCAAGTACAGGATGCGCACTCTGGCAATGATTTCGGTCACCACGAAGGACGCGATGGCGACGTTGCGTGGGGATCTTACGAGGTCCTGCTGCCTGACGGGAGGAAGCAGGTCGTGGACTACCAAGCCGACCAGAACGGCTTCAACCCTCAGATCCGATATGAACAAATCGGGTATGCAGCTCCTAGTGGCGCTGGTGGACCATACTGAATATAATTAGCCCACACAGTGTTAAATATCACTATACCGATCAATGCAACTGTCTTACGACCGTTTCGCGTAAATACGCGTGTTACCAACGCGACTGCACGAGGCCATTTCATACAAAAATGTATTTCCTTTGATGTGAGATTCTAACCTACCGCCCGCAGTTTCAATTCTAGGACCGTATTAGATGCTGATATTTTGCATATAAGAGTGATCAATATTATCTCTAAATCATCCGGTTGCAAACAAATAACTTCATATTATTTATAGACTTATTTGACTTATTTCTCATTGACATGTAATCGTTCCTTCTACAGTCTGACGACTTGTTATTTTCTATGTACCGAATAAGTAATTTTTTGCACTTACTTACCTCCTGTTTACGAAATAAATTACTTATTCCAATATCCGACTTAATACAAATTCATGCCTTGTTCTATTTAAAGATATCAATAGAAGGTAGACTAACTATTTAGCACAACAGAGTTTTCTTTATGTAAGTGTACACATATGCATGAATGAAAAATGAAATCAATGCTATGTACAGAAAACGAAAGTATGTTCTTTTCAATATCTTATTAACGTTTTATATTCATATCTGGCTTATGGCAAACATGAAAGCTGCAACATGTTATGTCACATCATTTTCCCTCAGTAAATATTATTTTATTGAAACAGACGTGAACTTAGTCCATAATACAGATGGAACTACAAAAGAAAAATATGTGTCACATTTAACATATTTCTATGTAAGTATATGCTTATCTGGCCAGTAAAGGTATCTTAAATATGTGTAATTTGTTTACTTACATCCTACAGTGTGTTTATATCTACATGTATATACAACCCTTTATAGGTACATTTTGTAATAAAACATGCAGGAATATAATGTAGGCCTACTAGTATTAATTTCTTTACACGTTTGAGAATACAGCAATATTAGGAATTGATTGCGACCAATCAGCTCTTATCATACCTCACACCTGATAACCCTGTCTCACATATGAAACTGATTCCTTAATGTGAGCTATTCCCCATTCTCTCTGCAGATGAATTCTTGCTAGGTCCATTTAGAGAAGTTGTAGTAGACAAACCTCGATAAATCAGAATTCCTCGCAATTAAATTTCTATCCATGTAGACCTATCTTCACGTTTCCAAGCAAAACTGCTGCTTAAGTGATACAACTTAACTAAATTACAAACAAATCGGCTAACCAGAAATACTACCTCGTAAAGAGTTAAGTTGGACCCAATAATTTTATTTATGAGTCGATATAATACGAGGCGCGTCCCAAAAGTATCAGTAATTTTATTTATGAGTCGATATAATATAATGCAAGAAAATATATTTCGTTATAAAAAAATAGCCTAATACTGCCATATAATAACATTCCTCAAACTTTAATTTCAAGTGTTTCAGTCTGCGTGTTGAACGTAGCAATAACTATAAATTACTATTTTGATTACTTAATAGCCAATTCCCGCCAGTAATTTCCAATAGGACAGACTGCAATTGCTACATTATATTTATGGAACACAACCTTAAGACTTGCACCGTCGGAATGTTTATGATATACCCAATAGTTTATATAGAACTTTGTAGTTATGCACATGACATACATCCACCCACATTTTCATATGTCCAAATTATATGGTTCATTAAGACCAAACCGAAATCAAAGTGTGGAATTTGTACGTCCGCCATTCTGGTATTGCTAATGGTAGGAAAATAAGAATCTAAAGATGGAGTATCCTTAGAGCAATTAATGTATACGATATTGTTACTTGTACATACAGAGAGAAAGATGGATAAATGCAAAGGAAGGAACCCCGTTATACACATGGAATTACGAAAAAACACGAGAACTCTGAGCAGAGTAGCGCCCAGATTGTGGTAGATCCGCCCAATAAGAACAAGAAGTCTCGCTATCCGCTAAAAACGTTTCATATTTAGAGGACACTGGAGTTAAAGGAGTAGTTAAAATATAATTTATCGAGTGTGTTGTTCGTGTTGCATAACAATATTACATCGGTATTCTCTGCACGTTATCACTCGACACACGTGAAATTATAACCCAGCAACTTTGATCTGATCGACTGGCCTCAGTCGTGTGTTCCTCTGGGGTCACATTCAGGTGGAGCGCGCTTCGTCGCCAGGACATAATAGTTCATTAGAACGACGCCACTCCTCAAATAATCTGCATACGAGTGACAGTACAACAGCGACCGCAATGAGAAGATTCATTGTTCTTGGAGAACGTATGAAGTGACAGCAATGTTTAAAGTCGATCTGAACGTACGCTTCTTTTTGCTGTGCTCAGTAATGACACGCCTTGTTTCGGCATGTCTGAATGTTGTCATTTTAGCATCACAATCACATACGATGTGCTTTAACATTAATAATCCTTTCATGCTTTGTTTTTAAGAAGTGCACATATCGAAAGCACTGTGTAGGGGGGGGGGGGGACGTAGGCCTTATTAACCATGGCTATTTTCTTATGTTTCCCCTAATTGTTAGAAACAGACTGCAAGGAGCATAAAAGTTCTCAATGGGTTTTATTATTAAATCTGTGAACTCACCGGATATAAGCCAAATTTTGTCTAAAAAAAGTGGTTTCCCTACGTAGTCTACAATAATTCGAACAGCAAGAGTTCATCTTCCTCCTAAACTCATAACTTAAACAGCTCTGGTACCAGCAGGAAACTAACCTTAAACCTTCAAATAACAAAACCAGCGTTTGCTGTTTAACGGTATCAGGGAAATGAAGTCTCTCGTGTCACCTTTCGCAATTCCGCACTGAACATCTGTGGCTTTCAAACAATACAAATCAATTGTTACCTTTAAAACGCAAAAATAAGGACATGCCATATTTATATCTTAAAAATTTCGAAATGAAAAGAGTTAAATGATTTACAAGGACTCCAATATCGACACCCGCCTTATTTGCCCGATTAATTAGAATATAATCAACAGTGCCTAACGAAATTCATTTCAAGCCATGCTCCCACCAGTGACGTTGACATGGATATCTTATAGTCACACGATGGGACTAGAACATGAATCAAAAGGACACGAATTTCGCTCTTTACCACCACCACCACCACCTGAATGAATCGTAGCTTAACCGCTTATAGTAAAAACCAGTTAGCCTACATTAAATAAGCCGGTAACAAAACCACTTTAGCAACAAACAGCTTGAGTACACAAAAAATTAACACTTATAAAAATAAAATATTCTAATAGCATTAATCACGTATCTAATTAATGAGATTCTAAGTGCATTCCTATGAGCTGTCCAAGACCTTGACGAAATAAATTAAATTACTTTCTATACAAATGTCTACACGTGTTTCAATCAATGGGACGACGCTGATAGTCTCTCAGCTGTTCCCAGATTTTTATGGAGTACAAAAGTTTCACAAGGCGATACCACTGAGTATGATCCTGAGTCAGCTGAATCCAATCAACATGCTCCTACTTTTAGATCCATTAACCTTTGTCATCCTACCATCTACCCTTAGGTCTCCCATGTGGTCTCGTCTCTTCAGGTTGACGGAATAAAACTTCATATGCGTTGATTTTGTACGGTCCAAAATTTATGTTATCAGATAGTAAGCGAGGGGGAGAAAAATATATATTCTGGATCAAATTGTAAGAAGCAATCCCCAAATTTGACCCTCTCATAAATTCGTGCATGATATTACACTGACATTTTACTCTCCTTTCCTACTATTTTAATTTAACTATTTTTTCGATGAATGTATTAGCTAGTTCTATGTTATTATTTTGTTCTCCATTCTGGCGACAAGGTATAAACACACACTTCCAATTGCGTTTGTGTTTACATCAACCTCTTTATAGCATCTAATAAAATTTTCGTGTTTCCCATTACAGTATTTATAATTTCAACCTCTAACCTAAAATACGACGATAAAACTCTATTTTCAGACTATTCTGAACACAAAGTCTCTATAATTACGTTTGAGCAAAATTTAATTTCAACTCCGGAGTTATACAGCAGACTTCAGTTACTAAGAGATCTACACTAAATCCGTCACAGAAATTGAATTTTGGTCATAACAGTCCAACACAACCCCCAATTTACATGAGATGACATAAAATGTCTTCAATTTGCTCATCGAAAAACTCATCTAACAAAAAATATGATATGTGTGGTAAAGTGAATGGCTAATTAAAACTTATGTTTAAACAACTTTTATTTCTGGCACATTAAATCTATATGTACCAAATACATACATTTCGAGTCTAACTATACAAGGCGCCAAGGCGTCACATGATCGATTACGCATGATCGGCATTACAGAAACGACAACAAGAGCTGGCTTTCAGCCATGTCCAAAGGAATACGTACACGTGAAGACTGATCTTGTGGCACTAATTGGGCCAGTGAAAGCGATGAGTTGGGAATTGAAACAACTGTTACATCATTTAATTTGTTAATCCGTTCGCTTGGTAGCTTGTTTTCAAGTGAGGTTGGGAGCAAGGTCCTGAGACAAACAGCAACGCAGAGAGCAGAACGCACATTAACACATTAGCAACGCATACTGACTTCACTGCACGAAGCCGTCCGACAGATTTCGCTTGCTTTAAGATCAGAGTTCGAATACCTGATGGTTTTGTAATCCAAATACCTGAGTGTTAAGAATCTGTACCGACAAGTACTGCAAACATGACCACAGTTACCACAGTTGGTCCGAAATTCCCGTAGGTCCTAAATGTATTAATCTCATTTACGTCGGTGTTTCAGCTGTAGAGATTTTATAGCGTCGAATGGTCTGGTCTTACTGTTTATAACAACGCCTTCAGCAGATGACGAGATAATCACGAACAGTGAGCAGGTTCGATTACATCGCAATATTTAACTAAAGTGACTAAGATAAAGGATTAAAATGATGGAGTTGCTGAACGTCGAGCTAGAGTGATGGCTGCTACAGGCATTGAGTTCCCTGTGAGTCATTCAGTCAATAGTGAAATTTCACTTTTACAGTGAAATCCAGTTCTGTCCTACAATAACGAAGGCTTCAAATCTGCACATCACATTTGAGGTTCTTGGGTGCCCTGCGGCTCGTGTACCCACTACACGATTTCGGGTGCTGAGCAACCCCCCAACTTTCATTAGCTTAATTTCAACTTTTAAACCATTTCTCCAAAATTATTCGTATAATACATACGAGGCTCGTCCACAAAGTAAGTTTCCCTGGGGCAGTTTACAGAAACAAAACACAATTTCATGGAAATATTTATTGCAACAGATACAGCAAGTGTCCAGCTATTTTTCAACATATTCGCCACCGGAATTGAGACATTTGTCATACCGTGGGACCAACTTTGGAATCCCTGT